TATATATATATATATATATATAGAGAGAGAGAGAGAGAGAGAGAGAGAGAAATATACTGAAATGTATCCTATAATTAAAAATTTAATACTGTCAGTGAAGGTTTAAAAATCAACAATATGTATATGTGATTACCAATAATGAACCATCCCAGCATAAAACAATTGATCAAAGTTTGTGTAGGCGATTGTCTAATCCTTTCCTCATCTCTTTCTTCTTGACGTTGCCGTACTCTAGCCGACAAAGTTAATAATTGCTTAAATACTCCAAATCCACCGCCTACTAATAAATATACGGGAATGTATTCACCCTGTGGACAGTCGTAAAGATACAGTCCACCGATCACCATCATACAAATTGGTACAACTATCGTTACTCCAAGAATGATGGTACATCCGACTGGAAAATAACGATTTTACATTTTGTATACAGTTATTTATAAGGTTTTCCTGAAGTATTTTATTTTCATCCTTTCATCTATCATCAATACTTAATAAATATATTGACTTACTTGTGCCTAAGAGCAGAACAACAATATTTTTTAAAAAATCAAATATGCCTTTGGATATTTTACGAGCTTCTCTCATACGACCAAATAAAGAATCATAAGATGGCGGTGGTGCTGGAAAAAAAATATAGAGAAATAGACGTATTTGATTTATAAATACGTGGACTGCATTTGAAAATGTCACCTGAGTATTCCATAATATCATCTTATCTTTGTTTATCAACATTGAATGAACAAGGTATATTAAATCTATAGGAAGAGACACTCAAGTGACATTTCCGAACATAGAAGATGCACATACTACAAAAGTCTAGGATAACGTACCATTAGGATCTATCGCCTCCTCATACGAGGGTGGCGCACCACGTTCGTTGGTCAATGTGGAGGGATGACCGAGGGGTAAATTAATATTATGATAGGATGGTGGCGGAGTGCAGCAGGTCGATGTAATCTGCGTGCTTGTGCCAGGATTTCCGCCCTCCACCGTTGCGGTGGAAGCATTTGTGGCACGGCTAATCGAGCTCAAAGGCATTTCTTCCCGTGCAGCGCCGGTTACTGTCCTATTCCAATACATAAGGCTCGCTTTCCAAACAGATTCGAGGATATCAGCGTAATCGCCCTCCCTCGCTGTTTACATTGGCGAATGCTGGTCTTTATAACCTAAAACTCGCACGTTCAGAGATTGTTTGCCTCCCCTCGTCCCGGAGAGGGGAAGCTTGATCTGCGAGAAAATCTTCGTTCCTCCGTATCCGAGGGATTCACATTTACGAGTCAAATAGAGAACGACGAGTCTCCAAAAACGTTTCAAAACGAAACCCTGATATATAGCGTGTTATTTCCATCTTCCATGATATAAGAAACAATTTGGAGCAACATTTTGATTGGTCAAAGAGCAGCCGTCATGTTCAAGATTGTGCATCCTTGAAAATGAAATACCATGATCGAAGCCCTACCGTATTATCTTGGTACGTTGGAAAACACCCTGTTTCTCTTGGTTGTGTTCCAAAATTGATTGCCAGTGCTAAAAATGTACAGTATACGTGACATAAACTATAAATTTTCAATGCTGACAGTGAATTTTGGAACACAGCCCTTGTTGGAAAGTTCCCCAGTTCTCCTTACAAGTGATTTTAACTAGATTAGTATCATAACGCCATCTATCATATGTTGAGAAGTTTTATTCAGTTTGGATTCCCTGTCTTGCAAAAGATTTTGAGGTTACGATTATAACCTCTTTTGATAAATAGTATACAATATCACTGATAATTGATATCAAATATGGCTACAAAAAAGATCAATGGATTATTTATGCCTTTTAATCAGTTATATAAACGAAATGTATTCATGGTAGATGCTATTACAAAATGCACATATGCAACCACTGATAAAGTTGATCAAGTTACTCATACTGGTCAGGTGAGATGTCCTTGATTCAATCACAAAAAATTTTTTTACAAGATATTACTTTACATATTCAAGTAACAAAATTCATGTAGATCAATAATACATCATACATCATCCGGATTTATAAAGATATATTTATTATACTTATTGATTATTAGATTATTAGATATATATATATA